AGTGTGTCAGAGATGATGAGGATGGCACAGGACAGGATAGGGTTCCCGTCTGTTGTTCACAGGGTCATACTTGATTCAATAGCACTTAACAACAGTAAACAGTGTCTTCCTAAAGAATGATTTTTTTTTATTAGTTCTGTCTCTATGGGATCAACTGACAGGAACAACTCAGCAGATTAGACAGCAAGTTCAGGGAGCAGTGACTCTATGTCAGTGAAGAGGAACAACTAGGGAAAAGTAAAGGGAGGAAAATGTTATTCGTGTCACTGAAATGTACATGCAGACACGACTGAATCAGTGTTTACTCTGCAGTGCTATGTTTACTTGCTCAACAAAAAGAAACTCGTGAAAAAAATTCTGAGCCCTCACGGCATTCATCACATTGTAGCACCACAGATGTATCAGGAATTCTGCTGAAATACATCCACACAGATTCATTTAAGTGCATTTTTAAGTACTAGGAACATAAGTGCTTATGACTGAGTCATTCCTGAAGAGTGATGATTTTCCCTGGTCTGTTTTCTGCCCACCTTGGACCACGGGGAGTAAGAATTCTGGCAGCAGGAAAGGAGGCTGGTTTTGGACATGGAGCATCACAGAGGAGAGATCTGATTGTACAGTCATAAGACAGCCCTGGGCTCCTGAAGAACAGAAGAGAGAGGACCTCAGAAAATTGGAGGGATGGTCAGAAAATGGGAGATCTCCAAAGTTAGACTCTACGTGCATTGCAGTTTTGCCCAGGGCCACGATACCATAAATTTACCAACCAGCCAAGCCTTGCCCTGTCATCAAGCCACTTCCAATACATGGCAACCATCCATCCACGTTCTCTCCACCAAGTAAAGCTTAATAGGAGTAGATAATCCTCGCAACGTGGCTGGTGGGTTTGAACTGCTGACCAATATTTTACTTGCTCTACCACCAGGAAAAATTGTCAAGATGCAGTGCTGTCAATGCAGTAAAAAAAAATCACTGGGTACTTTTTCCTGTAATACATGTAATCATGTGATTTGTGATTTGCTTTGTGCATCTGGAATGCAAAAGATTAACTTAGTTAAAAGTTAGAACAAGTGAAATGTCCCTCTGTTTCCAGTGGATCCCGAACAGATGAGTCCAAATCAATAGACCTCCCAGCCGCCACCCAGTCAAGTCCGACTTAGGGCACTGCCATGTGTATTAGAATGTTGTTTTGGTGCATTGGCAATGGCTGATTTTTCAGATAATAGGTCTTTCTTCTGGTCTGCCTCTGTGTGGACTTGAACTTAGAACAGATTCACAGACCATGTAAACCCATTAAAATGATGGAGATACTCAGGACATGTTACCCACTCTGCTTTTAAAGGCATTGCAAATGATCTCCTTTTTAAATTCATCTTTAAACTCCCTGGTTCCTGATTGTGTTTTCTCCTTGAAGAAATGCTGTGTGAACGCCAGAAAAGAATGGGAGACCTTGTATTCTGAAACTGTCTTGCAGTTCGATGTCACATGTTTGTGGGATTCCAAGTTCTGTTTGAGTTCTTTCTGACAGAACACTGCATGTGCTGTTGACACATGGGGCCACAGTGAAGAGCATCTTCATTTCCTCTTAGGTGTCAATTCTATCCTTGCTTCCCCACTGCCCAGCTCGGTGGAGGAGGGACAGGAAGGACTTGCTGGAGTCGCTGGCAGGAAAGGGCACTTGATAAGCATTTGGGGGGACTGATTGGTCTATTTGGAACTTCATACACTGCCGACAGGTTATTTTAGCGTGCGCAGTTAAAAACTAATTAGGGAAAGTAAAGTATTGAGGGCGTCAGACCTGTGACTCCTGCAGCAAACATACATGGGACGTTAGGAGATGAAAAATGCACAAGCTGTTCTGTGAGCAGGATTTCTGTGGGTTTTCTTTCAATGCATCTGTGTAGCAAAAGAAGATTCTGGTAGGATTTACAGCCTAGATGATGCTTAGTGACTGTTTCAGGCCAAGTACCTGCAGCTGTCGAGTCACCGTGCTTCTGACTCCCAGCGAGTCGATGGGACAGAGTAGAACTGCTGAGAGGTGTTCAGGGCTGTAAATCCTCGTGGCAGAAGACTGCATAAGCTTTCTCTTGTGAAACAGCTAGTGCCTTCCAACGACCAGCCTTTTGGCTAATAGCCATGTGCTTTAATCACTGTACCACCAGGTTCCTCCTTCAGGACCATGTTGGTGCTAGGTGCCTTTAACTCCTAACAGTCCTGTGTGCAACACGACAAAACCCTGTCCGGTCCTGTGTTACTTGTTGTTATGTGCCATTGAGTCTCCTGCGACTCACAGCAACCCTATGTACAGCAGCCCTAAACCCTGCTCTGTCCTGTGCCAATGGCACTGTCTCTGACACTCCCATTCTGATTTCCCCAGTCACTGAATCAATCCACCTCATAGAGGGTTTTCCTCTTCTGCGCTGTCCCTCCACCCTCCCAAACATGATGTCCCTCTTCAAGGACGTGTCCTTCCTTGCAACATGTCCAAAGTATGTCAGACAAAGCTTCAGAATCCTTGCCTCCAAGGAACAGCCTGGCTTCACCCTCTCCAGGACAAACCTGTTCATTTTCTTTGCTACTTAGACAATAAAAATCACAAGCCGGCTACCCCTGAGGGGGTTCTGACTCAGCAGCCCTCCGCTGGGCTCCTGAAGCTGTAAATCTTTAGCGAAGACCACCCATCTGTCTCCCAGGGAGCAGGAGATACATTCACGCCGATCTCTGATCTCTCCTTTAGCAGCCAGACAAATTGCACACTACAACACCGAGGCTTAAATCTTTCCTCACTTATCCCGCTCTTAAAGGAAAAGGGGAGGAGCAAAGAAATGGTAGAGGGATAAAAAATGAATTTGTATTAAAACAGTGAGGGACAAGCGGCTGCCGGGAAGGGAGATGCTGGCAGGGTATCAAACTATTTGAAATGTCCTGCACTCTGCAGTCAGTCCCAGCTCTGTCACCTGCTCTAGGGAAGGCACTTGAGTAACAGTTTGTAACCTGGAAGATAATAACCACAACTCTAACTTCATAAGTACATAGTGGGATAGTTACTGAAGGGGCATTACACCCCCAGGGTCCTGGATCAGATGAGACCGCTTCTGAAATTTCGGCATGGCCAGCTTAGTTTTCTAGGCTGCCACAAAGCACAAAAGTTAGAGGCTTAAAAGAGCAATGATTAGGTATTATTGTCATGACATGAGTCCAGAATGAAGGCTGCATAGTGGAGTAGACTTGAGGGGAGGGATTGTATAAGGACAGAATTTTTCTTTTACTTTTAAAAGAGAAGAACGAACTGGGGCGGGAGGGCAGGGAGAATGCAACAATGAACGAATGGAAATCCAAAGTCTCTAAATTTTCATTTAAAATTAATCATAATTTTAAAAAAAACACAAACCCTTATTGTCTCAAAGTTCTGGAGACTAAAAGTCAGATTCAGGGTGCAGGCTGCATGATGCACCCTCATTTTGCTCTGGAGAAGAGGTCTCTTCCAGTTTCTGTAACCCCAAGTGTCACTGGTTTACGGATTTATCCACCCAGGAGCTTCCTCCTGGGTGAAGGTCCCATGTTTGTTTTCTAAGACTCCACTTGGAAGCGGAAGAATCCACTCCACAATAGATCATTGAACTAATAGCATCTTCAAAGAGAAATGTTAGTTCCACACAAGATTATTTCTTTTACAGGTACAGAGGTTGGGACTTCGACATATCTTGGGGGAGGCACAGTTCAGTCCATCACAGCAATGTTTCTCTTCCTCTCCTCTTACATCTGGGAAAGGTAGAAAGTCATTGAGAGAAGACCCACGGGGAGATGGATTGACACTGTTACAGCAACAGTGGGCCCGACCGTGGTGGAGGTGGAGAGAATGGAGCAGGCTAGGACAAGGTTCTGAGCTGCTGTTGGCAGGGTCGCTGTGTATCACAGTGGAAGCAACAGCACCTAACTTAACAACTGTTACATCTTGGCTTCCACAGAATCGTTATGAAAGACCACCTGGGTGCATCCACTTGCCCCCTGCTTTCTGCACCTGCATTCACTGGTGGGGTGCAGGCAGGGGACAAGAACAGTGGACAAGTACATCAGGGAGGGGCTGGGCAGCCTTGTTGGGTCCCAGCTGGGAAAGGTGAGCCTTTCCGGTGGAGTCAGCAGGAAGCAGTGCTCCCTGCCTACAAGTGGCCATGAAGCTGTAAGATGCTTAGTAATTACTATGTCATTTCCCCCCCCTTTTTTTTTATTAATTTTAGTGAAAGTTACAAGAGACTTAGGGTTTCCAGTCATTCATTGTTGCACTTTTCTCCCTGCTCACCCCCTCCCCCCATTCACTCTTCTCCTTCAAAAGTAAAAGAAAAACTCTTTTATTCTTATGCAATCCCTGCCCCTGAATCCACTCCACTATGCAGTCTTCGTTCTGGACTCCGGTCATGGCAATAATACCCAATCATATATCCCTTTTAAACAGTTGTCTCCCTCATCTGTTTCTATGCAGTATATATCATTCCTCCCCTCCTTCTCTGTCTTCCCTCAACCCTGATGTCAGTCCCACTTTCCAACAGTGGCCCTATGCAATATTTGTCCTTTTGTCACTAAGATATTTCACACTCAGCATAATGCATATATAGTTTAATTTACTATGTCATTTTTAAAGTGTCTGCCATGCCGACTGTTTCAGTGTGTGTCCCTTGGTGAGAACTACTGCTCCAAGAAAGGACTATTTTAGGTGGTTTTTCATTAAATGCAAACATTCCTTCCAGAGCCGACACACATTTGTCCACGGCTGACACTGTGACTGCACATTGTGAGGATGGCACAGGCTGTGGCTTGTTCTACTGGGCACGGGGCGATTGTGAGTCAGAGCTAATTCAGTGGCACCAAAGGATGACAGTGTGCTGGATCAGCCTGAACGCTGTCATTGGGGACACGCCACAGAGACAAAAGACGGCGGCCTTGGTGCTAAATTCTGCTGGTTTACAGAGGAAAACAATGGTCTTTTATGTCCTTTCTTCTAGAACATAATTGCTGAGCATGAAATTCGTAATATCTCCTGCGCGGCCCAGGACCCAGAAGACCTCTCAACCTTCGCTTACATCACAAAAGATTTGAAATCCAATCACCACTACTGTCACGTGTTTACTGCCTTCGATGTGGTAAGTAACCACCCTGTTCTGGACAGACTGAAAATGTCCCCCAAATGGACCTGGAGTTTATTGAATAACAACTTGTAATTGACATACAAGCTGTGGCTTCTTTACCAAAAAATCAAGGTATGCCAGTAACTATAAGGTATTCTAGCAGACTCGGCTTTTCTGAGCTTTTCCTGTATTTTCGCTAATCCATGAGATGTAGAATCTGCCCTGGCACCTGCACTGTCACGGCTTGATTACTCACTTACCCTTTCAGATGTGATAAATTCCTTTCTTTCTCTAGAGCCAAATTATAGTAAAGGTCTTTCCACTTCCTCATTCTATTATTTTATCTGTTGGTATCTCTGGTAGTCCTTTCTGAGTACCAGGACATTATAGTCTAGGACGAAAGGAGCTCTGGTGGCCTAGAGGCAAGAAGCAGCACTGCAATCCTGAAGGTAGTTGATTCAAATTCATTAGGTGCTCTGTGGGAAAAGGATGGGCAGTCTCCTCCCCTATTATTAACTGCCTCTGAAAACCTGTCGGAGGGTCAGCTATGGGTCAGTTCTGACTGACTCTATGGTATGTGCAAAAACACATATACAATATTTGTTATTTTCTATATTTAATAACAGTCAAATTTGAAACCCAGGAGAAACTTTAAAGTCTTGCCTATTTTAAAGTCTTGTAAGGAAGTCCTTATGGTGTCTGTTGTTAGCTGGAGGAACTCCAATTCATGGCCACCCATGTACAAGAGAAGGAAACATTGCTGGATCTTGACCTGTCTTCACAACTGTTGTAATTGTTTCTTTGGCTGAATTTTCAGAAGTAGGTCACCAGGCCTTTCTTCATAGTCTGTCTTAGTCCACAAGCTTCTTGAAGCCCCATTTACCTGGATGGCCCTGCTGCTGTTTGGAGTACTGTGGCAAAGCTTCCACCGCCATGTTGTTGTTAAGTGCAGGTGAGTCAAATATGACTCATAGCCACCGTATGAACAACAGATCCGAACTGTGTCCTCTTCTGTGCCATCATCATCACCTCCAATGTACTTGATCCCATTGCCGCAGTCACCATGTCAGTCTATCTCCTTGGAGGTCGTCTTCTCTTTTTCTGACCTTTCCAGACATAATGTACCTTTCCAAGGAATGGCCCCTGTATATCATGCCCAAAGGATCTGAGGTGAAATTTCACCATCCTTGCCTCCAGGGAGCACACTGGTTGCCCTTTCTCCAAGACAGATCTGTTTGTCCATGGGATGTTGAGTACTTTTCTCCAACACCACAACCACTAATGAGCAGTAAGCTGACAGACGGGAGGTAGCCTGATGGTGCTATAGCATTTGTCCTCAGGTCTGAACCTAGTCCATATATGAGAAACTTGAACAATGAAAATAACAAAGGTTCCTCTCAGATCTCCAAATCCTCAAGATAATACTGACTGCTTTAGGACAGCTCTGATAGCAAACATGGGCTTCCAGCAGTTGAAGCTGACAGAAAGACGTATGAGTATAGCCAGCACCCTGAAATAATCTGTGATCAGAAAAAGTCCAAAATGAAAAAAAAAAGAAAAGAAAAAGTCCAAAATGTCATCTTAGTTTTATAATTCTTCTGCTCAGCTCCATTTGAAATATACATATTTTTAAAGAATTGTACTGAAATTGCAGCAGAATATATCTGGGGGAGGCCGGCCCACAGTTCATTCTCATGGGTAGCAGACTGTACTGAGCAATCTTTACAGTTCTGCCAAACACACACTACCATAATCCAAAATTCACACCATCAGAGATGTTAATCAGGCTTACACTCACAGCATTTGTATCATCTCTTTCTGTTTTTGAAGGCTGAAAGCATAGGGGAGAATGCTCATGGTCTTTGAAATAATCCCTTCTATTTTAGGAGGCATGACAAGAATAATATAAAAATGGTATGTGGTAACAGTAAGGACCGCAGAGTCCTCAAAGGCTGCTCTAAAAATCTGTGGATTGCATGCCCTTCTCTGCTGTCTCAGTTCTGATTAAAGTTGGTCCAGTGGGCTTCACAGGGGCATGCACTGTTAGGCTGCTGGTGCCTTAAACAGAACTGGCAGTGTTTGTGAAATTTCGTTTAATTCTGAACAAACATCATGCTTGGAAAGGGGGCTGTTGCAGCAAAGACAACGACTCTCAACCAGGTGGACTGACTGACAGTGATTGCACCAATGAGCTTGAGTGTGTCACAGATTGTGAGGAGGACACGGATAGGACAGGGTTCAGGTCTCTCATTCACAGGATTGCTATGACTCATCCTTGACTCCATGATACCTAACAACAACTATTTTGAGCAGTAAAATGTCTTTTTTTCCCCGTTTTTCATTTTATTTGCATGAAACACATTTCCCTGTAAGAGTTGGCCTGGTGTGATAGAACAGGCAGATCAAAGTTCAAATCCCAGCCCATCCATTTACTTTTTCAACTTAACAAATTGCTAAACTTTCATGAGTCCCAATTTCCTTATCTATAAAACAAGGACAAGAGTTTGAAATAAAGGCACATATATAGTTGTTAGAGGCTATTCAGTCAGTTCTGGTCCAGAGCAACCCCCTGTGACAGTAGAATCAGCCTATGGAGTTTCCTTGGTTCTAAGACTTTTGGAAGCAGATAGCCAGGTCTTTCTACTGTCCAGCTGCTAGGTAGATTCGAACCACCAACCTTTCAGTTAGCAGTCAAGTATTTACCTGTTTTTACCACTGTTGTTGCATACCATTGAGTTGGAACCAACTCATAGTTGACCCTCCTGTGGATCTTTAGAGGCACTAAATCACATGGGAAGAGATTGCTCATTTGTCAAAAGAGCAAGGGCCATGTGGGGACAGCCATATCTGACCTATATCAACTTCACAAAAGGGAACTGTCCCTGTCAACAACATCAACAACACAAAACCAATCCCCATGAGGTCAGCCATGTCCCCCGTGCTCCTGCATGTCTTTCTGCTCATCCCAACACCAATTGTAATGCTTTAGTGGACCCCAAATTTGATACAATAGCTCTCAGACCACCCAGAACCATACTGGGGATTTCAAGAATTCAGGGTAGTTGCAGAATACAGACAACAGTATTTTGGACACCTTCCTAAATGTGCTGACAGGCATCTCAGCCTTGACTCTCACTGCTTTACACCAGTGTCACAAAGCTCTCAGCCTACCAGTTATGGCTCTCCCTCTCACCCTCATCCCCGAGTCCTCCAGCAAACTTGGGCCAAAGACTCTTAGCTCTGACTCAGTGGATTTGCTGTCCCATGGCAGTGCCCTCTCACGCCAGGTCACTGGTTTCCTGCTGTGGCTGATATTACTCCTGCTCCTTTAGGCCTTGGTCTGGCTAGCACAAGAATCTCTGCACTGGAGGACACATTGTAGTCTCTTGCTTCTTTGCTGGCTTTGAGGTTTCCTCTCTTCTGCTGCTGGATCTGCTCAAATGAATGGTGAGACTAGCCAATCCCCTTGTGGGTAGGCTAACCCATCCTATTTGCATATTTCTACCCGTCCACATGGCAAAGTTGGTCAATGGATAGAGAAGCGTTTTGAACAGTAAACCCTTAACACCACACCATCCTCCTCCCACAGAGCAGATGGTGGATTCCGACCACGTGCTTTCGGGATTGCAGCACGGCTTCTTACCACTAAGCCACCAGAACTCCCTTGCACCACTAGGTTTTCTAGAGAAAAACTAAGTTTTCACCACTAGGGCTCCTAATCCATGTAAAATGCTTCTGAAGTGATAGGCGCTCAGTGCTCATTCTGCCTCCACCCTCTCCTCACAGCATCACAGATGACAGCCTGACCCTTCTGCTAAACCACCTGAGAGAGATTTGCTGGAAAGGTATCACTCCGGATCCAGAGGTTTCCCACTGCCTCTGTGAAAGAACTTTAAATCAGACCCTAAAAGGAAATGCTGACCATGCAGGATCTTCACAGAGCTGCTCATTGAAGTTTTTCCTGATTGATTTTAAAGTAAACTATAATTTGCCATCATAAGTCTATTAAAAATGTAGCTCAGCATTCAAACTAAAAATGATACCCGCTAGCCTGGTGCCCCCTTGAGGTACTCAGCCACAAACATAGGGCGATCCTGAGATAAACTGGAAGGACGAATTGTCAGATGTTTTATTATCAACATCATACCCTTCCCCACCCCAAACACTTGGGATATTTGTATGGAGAATTGGTTCATATTTTATCTTTTCATCCAGCTGTTTAATTTAATGTACATTCACTAGCTCAGGATTCTGATATCAGCTCCAGAGGATTTTCATCTTACATCATAAATCCACCATCTAATCCTCTCTAGGTGAACAGAGTTTATCTAACTTCAAAAATAGTAACCAAGGCTACCATCAGCCTTGACTTGGGCCTTTGAGCAGCTGTGAGATGCAACAAGCTTTGCTTGCACTTAAAAACAGGGGTCCGGGGGCTTCTTTGAGCATGGATTTTTGTCTCTATGTAAAACAAATTTGCCATTTCAGTCTCAAAGCCCTAAAACTCTTTCGGCATAAATTAGTACCTTGGGCAGCTCCAAATAGTCATTTTAAAATAGAGTACCTTCAATTACCTCGAGGACTTCTTGTAGCACAGTGGTTAAAGCATTTAGGTGCTAACCAAAGGTCAGTGGTTCAAACCCATGAGATGTTCCACAGAAGAAAGATAGTCTGCTTCCATAAAGTTCTGCAGCCTTGGAAATTCTATGTGGAGTTCTGCTTTGTCCTGTAGGGGTCACTATGAGTTGGAATTGACTTAGCAGCAGTGGCTTTGTGTCTGTGGCCTCAACTGTACATTTAATCTTTTAGCTGATAGGGAATTAAGAATAGATAATGACCATTGCATTGGAACTGTCTATAGATTAAGAACTGTCCAAAAGGAATATATGATTAGGCAATAACAGTACAACAACAGCCCAGAATAAGAGGTTTGTCATTGTAAAGAGGACTTGGGTGGGGTGAGAGGAGGGAAGTAATTATGCAACAATGAATGATTTTTTTTTTAAAGTGAACTA